ACTCGCACAGAACAGAAGGCTAACCCAAGTGCTACGGTGACAGAACGATCAAAACCTAATCACAATATTCCACAATTAATACCGCACTACCACAAATTCATAGTAAAATCATCATTAGCACTATCCCTAATCACAGTGCCATTTCTATCAATCTCCACATAACCAGACATCTCCAAATTTATTCTTGTATTACAAACTAACCATTTAAATCCCCGTTAATCGTTGACCCTCGGTGTGTGAACAGTGCCTATGAACAGTACCCGTGAACAGTACAAGTGAACAGTATCATGAACAGTAACTTCAACTTCCAAATTGCAAAACCATAGCTAATCTCACGGGATTTTTCTCCAAAATCACAACAACCCAATTCAAGCTGATTTCCTACTTAAACCACACTTAAAAACATACCTTAAAGCTACCAAAATTCCCCTTTCTCACGGGCAGTACATGGAGAGCATAGCTTGGCAAACCACAACTCACACACACACGGGATTTTCACACAAAACATCACAGCAGCCAATTCAAGAAACTTCCACATAATTTAAACAACAAAACACATTTAAAGGGCTGCTAAATGCTACCGGAATTTATCCCCCATTTTAGCAAAATTCGGGCAAGCACAGGACAGCACTTAATGGACAAAACCCAACAATTAAATGGGTAATTTTAAGCTTGGAAAAGTCGGCAACTTACCAGAATTCCAGCCAGCAGAACCCGAGCTTGGCTGGTGAGGAAGTCGACGGGATCCAGGGAGGGGAAACTCATGGCAAACTCCAGAAATTCAAGAACCAATAACAAAATTAGAGTAACCCAAGCCAAATGAAGAGAGAGAAAGGATGAATTCAAGGTTGCTTCTTACCAGAAAAAGCCAAAGGATTCAAACCCAGCAGAACCCGACGGACAAGGGAGAAGAACAGAGCAATGCAGATCTGGATTCTGCAGAGGGAGGGGGGCATTTCTGGGTTCAAGAACAAGAGAAGAAGGAGAAAATCCCCAAGCTTTGCCGGATTTCCGGCCGGAAATGGGTGGCGGTGACGAGGTGGGCTCGTCGGGTGTAGAGGGTCGGGGGAGAGGAAGAGCAGAAGCAGGAACACGCAGCTGTGAGGAAGAAAAGAAAGAAAAAAGAAAAAGAAAAAGCAGTGGATCCTTATCCTAATTTCCTTTCTTTTTAGTCCCTCAACTTTTGAAAATTTTGCGATTAAGCCCCAAAATAATATTATTCCTCAAATAAGTCCCCAATTTAATGCTAAAATACCCCAAAATTTTGGGATATTACAAAAGACCTTAAACTAATTAACTTATCTCTATTGGGTAAATGGTGGGGTAAGCTAGCAGGAGGAAAAGAGAGTATGTGGTTCAAAATAATAAAAGCAAAATATGGTAGAGGAATTGATTATTGGTTGAACTGGGTTAGGGAAGGTAGAGGAGCAGGATCAAATTGGTGGAAGGATATATGCAAGTTAGATGTGTTACTAGAGGGAAAAAGTGGGTGGCTAACAGATGGTTTCGAGTTTGTAGTTTGGGAAGGAAAAACTGTGAGTTTCTGGAGGGATAGATGGCTAGATGTAGGTGAACTTGCTAATGTTTTTCCTAGATTGTTTTTAATCTCAACAGAGAAGGACAAATCCATCCACCAAATGGGATTGTGGGAACAAGACAAATGGAATTGGCATTTCAATTGGAGGCGACAGTTGTATCCATGGGAGACAGAAGACGTGCAAAAACTAGTAAGCTTGTTGCAAAATATACAAGTCCAAATTGGAGTTGAAGACTCTTGGATGTGGAAGCACTATTCAAGCAGAGTTTACTCTTCCAAGTCAGGCTATCTTTTACTTGAAGACAATCAGCCAGCACCTAATAAAAGGACATTCAAGAGGTTATGGAACACTCAAATCCCTCGTAAAGTATGTGGGTTTCTATGGCAAGTAATATTGGATAAAATCCCAACCAGAGCAAACCTTTTCAAATGAGGAGTTCTCAAAGATGTCAATAAAACTTTATGCAGCATCTGTAATGAGCATGAGGAAGATGGAGACCGCCTCTTTTTACACTGTAAAGTTGCTTTGGAAATATGGCATAAATGCTTCACTTGGTGGGATTTACCGACAGCAAGATTATCACCTGTTGGGAGGCTTTTGTTCAACATGAAAGGCTTGTTCACTCCAAAAGATTAAAGCATGGTTGGGAGGTCATTTGGTTTGCAATATTGTGGACACTATGGGGTGTTCAAAATGAAAGGCTATTCAAGAAGAAGCCAATCGACCTAAACAGAATATTCGACTTAGTCCAAGTTAAGGCATTTCATTGGCTAAAATATAGACGCAAAGGTAATAATATGCTTCTACGGGATTGGATTACAAATCCTAGATTGTGTCTTTGATTTGTGAACAAGAAAAGGACTCATAATTGACTGAACTACCATTTTTGTATGGGGGGAATGCATTAAATATATAAAAAAACCCTTATTTTATATATGGGCATGAGTACCCCTTGTACTCCATTTATAATATAACTAGTTTTTTTCTTCTGCCCGTGCGTTGCACGGGTTATTTTTTAATTTTTTATATTAGAGTTTAAA